ACGGGTGGTGAGGGTAGTGTCGGAGATGCCGCCCTTTCTTTTCTGCCGCCCTAGATGCAGATATAACTGAGGGCACGGGTGGTGAGGGTAGTGTCAGAGACGCCGCCATCTCTATTCTGCTGCCCTAGACGCGGATAGAAGAGGGGGCAGGTGGTAAGGGTAGTGTCGGTGACGCCGCCCTCTTTATTCTGCCACCCTAGACAACAATATAACTGAGGGTGTGGGTGGTGAGGTTAGTGTCGGAGATGCCGCCCTCTTTATTCTGCCGCTCTAGACGCAGATATAACTGAGGGCGCGGGTGGTGAGGGTAGTGTCGGAGATGCCGCCCTCTCTATTCTGCCACCCTAGACGTGGATATAACTGAGGGTGCGGGTGGTGAGGGTAGTGTCGGAGATGCCGCCCTCTCTATTCTGCCACCCTAGACGTGGATATAACTGAGGCGCGGGTGGTGAGGGTAGTGTCGGAGATGCCGCCCTCTCTATTCTGCCACCCTAGACGCGGATATAACTGAGGGTGCGGGTGGTGAGGGTAGTGTCGGAGACGCCGCCCTCTCTCTTCTGCCGCCCTAGACGCGGATATAACTGAGGGCGCGGGTGGTAAGGGTAGTGCGCGGACGCCGCCCTCTCTATTATGTCGCCCTAGACGCGGATAGAAGAGGGGGCAGGTGGTAAGGGTAGTGTCAGAGATGCCGCCCTCTCTATTCTGCCGCCCTAGACGCAGATATAACTGAGAGTGCGGGTGGTGAGGGTTGTGTCGGAGACGCCGCCCTCTTTATTCTGCCACCCTAGACGCGGATATAACTGAGGGTGCGGGTGGTGAGGGTAGTGTCGGAGATGCCGCCCTCTCTATTCTGCCGCCCTAGACGTGGATATAACTGAGGGTGCGGGTGGTGAGGGTTGTGTCGGGGACGCCGCCCTCTTTATTCTGCCGCCCTAGACGCAGATATAACTGAGGGTGTCGGAGACACGTTAGCGTATTATATAGTATGGAAGTATGCGGTTTCAGACGCAGCCGCTGTTTTCCAGCAAGGCAAGCTGGGGTGCTGAAATATAATTGGCTAAACTAGCATTGGGCGGGTTTGAGAGACCAAAACAAAGACAGCCATTCCAGCACGTAATGCACATGTTCAAAGCAGAATATCTGACTACAGCATTGCGTTTCAGATGTTCACTGAGCATGTTTGTAGAATATCTGCAAACATATTACGGTATTTTAGGCTTTAGAAGAGTCAAAAACTGACATGCAGCACTTTTAACTTCCATAGTCATCGGCTGCTGTTACAGTTTCACTATTTAGAATTTGCAAATAATACTTTTCATATATTTTATCGTCAAGCAGGAGGTCATAATGCACAAATAAAAAACCAAACATACCCCAATCCATAAAATGGAGTTCCTCTCATTTGCATATTCGTTCTAGTCTAGTTATCAATGCTTCTGATTGGTTTATTATATTCCATGCAGATGCATTCCGCTAAAACCATCGTAAAATCAATCTAAAATTGATCAATTCTTTTACAACAGAGCCAGTCATGTCATCAGGTAAACCTAGCACACTCAACATCGCAGTATGTCCTGCAGAAAATAAAATATCGTGATGTCAGTTTTTACCAATATCATTTTGAGGCCTACGAATACAGCATCACCGAATAACGTGGTATTACCACTTCAAACAATTAATGTACAACCAACACAACGCTTATTTTATAACACGACGTGCTTCCACACACAAGGGCTGAACACAAAGCACCATTACGGACACATTACATATGGATAACTGCATAATTCAGACAGTGCACTCATGCTAGGTGAGCGTTATGGCATCCATAAGAGGACTCTTATCAAACTGTTGATACAATAATGGACAGGGAGACGTGTGGCGCTCGTAATGACCGACTAATGTCGTAGTTAATAGCTCTGGCTTTAACTTTAAATGCCAAACTGCATCACGACAGGCGCTGCAACTCAGGTAAGCGTTCATTTCTGCAATGGCTTTGCAACCACTTTGCATGAACCCGACTAAGAATAGACACACTCACACACGATCAAACCCATGCGGATGCACGATATTAAACCTAGAAATCTTCAAATGAACACACGCGCGTTGTATTTGTTGGTGCATCTGAAACTGTATTAGCAGGTAACGTTATTTGTTTACAAATGCGCTGTTGTACCTTACCATTTTGCTGCCTGTGCGACGGAATTCCCCCTCGGAAATGAACAGCAATAAATGACAGCACAGATGTAGAAGGAGAATCCTGCTCTCGGTCTTGTGGTTTTGTGCAGAAAAGCGCTGTTTTTTTGTCGGTAACCTGTTTTCCGTCCGTTTCCGTGGGTTTCACTGCAGCAGCGACGCGAGGAAGAGCCGCAGGGCGGGGAGGGTGGGCGGAGCCAAGCAGAAGCAATGCTATTGGACGACATGAGGAGGAGGCGGGGCGAAGAGGCAAATGATAGGCGGGTTTAGGCGTACTAAATATACGGAAGCATTCGCCCCGCCCTTTCCCTTTACACTCACTCAAACACACACACGCACACGCACACACAGAAATTATTGCTTGGCATCTGGTTCACTTAAAAAAATTCAAAGTGCATGTATGTATGTATATATATATAGTATTAACCCCTTTGTAGTATTAACCCCTTGATACTAACAAATACTGTAGTGTACTTTAGATTTTACTACAGTAAACTGTGGTGTATTGTAGTTTAATATACCCCACAGTTGTAGAAAACTACAGAACTGGGTCATTTGTTTATAGTTGTGTTACAATCACTATTTTGTGCATGTCTTCTATAAATCACCGAAAATAACCCACATGAAAATACTATAATAATTATTACTATAGTAAAATACTGTAGTAATTATAGTAATTATTATTAAAGCAAATACTGTTGCATTAACTAGTGATACTACTAAATACAGCATTGGGTCATTTGTTTATATTATGTTGCTATTATTAAATTACTATTATTATAATAGTTGTTGTATTACAATAACAATTCTAGAACCATCATAGCAGATTAATTCAAGTACTTTACTATAGTATGGTTGAACAGTATGTTCATTTACATGTTCAAAGTGTATTATACTTGCCTCACAGCAAGAAGGTCGCTGGTTCGAGCCTCGACTGGGTCAGTTGGCGTTTCTGTGTGGAGTTTGCATGTTCTCCCCGTGTTGGCGTGGGTTTCCTCCGGGTGCTCCGGTTTCAATCACAGTTCAAACACATGCGCTATAGGGGAAACTGATCAACTAAATAGTGTATGAGTGCGTGAGTGTGTATGGGTGCTTCCCAGTACTGGGTTGCGGGTGGAAGGGCATCTGCTGCGTAAAACATGTGCTGGAATAGTTGACGGTTCATTCCGCTGTGGCGAAATTAAGCATGATTATTATTACAATATCTATTACTCAAAACTTCACTATAGTATGCTTCAAAAACACTATAGTATATTTTTCATATGAGGGTATGAATCATTTTCGTGCAGATAAAAAATGCTGCACTACGCTTTTGTTTTGATGCTTAAAAATCGCCATCTGTCTTTGACCCATATCTACTGTTTTTGTATGTGTAAAACCTAATCTGACTGAGATTTCATATAAACGCTATAAGATTAGGTTTACTACGGTTTTAAAGTGGTCTTACTCCACCTTACTGTTAGGTCTTAAAGTGGTCTTAAGCTCTTACACTAGATCTTAAGGTGAACCTGCTAAAACCCATGCTAATCTTCCGGATAATTGATTATTATTGCTCTGCAGCGCCACCTGCTGGACTTCATGCTTATTTATAGTTAAACGATAGATAGATAGATAGATAGATAGATAGATAGATAGATAGATAGATAGATAGATAGATAGATAGATAGATAGATAGATAGATAGATAGATAGATAGATAGATAGATAGATAGATAGATAGATAGATAGATAGATAGATAGATAGATAGATAGATAGATAGATAGATAGATAAAGAAAAGATAAACTGATATGCATCATTTCCCACATCTCCATTTTGATGTTTTTTATTTGATAGATTATTGCCATTTTCAAAATATTGAAAAAATATTGGAAAAAAACATACACATTTATTGCACGGATACCACAATGCACCAATAGAAAATATTCATAAAAACACACTATAAAGGTATTTCCATACGATGCTACATCTTGCTGAATTATAAAATAGCCCATTTTTTACAATAAGGTTACATTAGATGATGTGTTTATTTACTAACATGAAGTAATGTTAAACAATAACTGTATAGCATTTATTAATCACAGTTCAACAATTAATAATGCATTATTGTGCTTGTTAATGCACTGAGAGTTTACAGGAACTAATAATAATGAGTGTATTTTTGAAAGCTATTAAAGAAGATTAACAGTCCCAGTGTTGGGTTGCGGCTGGAAGGGCATCCACTTTGTAAAGCATATGCTGAATAAGTTGGCGGTTCATTCCGCTGTGGTGACCCCAGAATAATAAAGATACTAAGCCAAAAGGAAAATTAATATAGGACAGATTACCAAATGCTGTAATTAAAGCGTTGCTTATTGTATTTTAATGCATGAACTAATGTAATCTTATTGAAAGTGTGACCATAGAATCAATATAAAATCTGCAAACTCATATAAAAGTAAACTTCATCCTCTTTCAGGTTCTTCAGAGGTAGACGGCTGGAAGGAAAACTGCAGCTAAACACAACACCACGACAAACAGGGTAAAGTGCAACTATTCTCCCACATGAAAAATAAATACTAGAGTAATTTAGAGTAAATCATTTAGTGTTTTTGAACCATATTATAGTAAAGAAGGTGAGTTAATCTGTTGTGGTAACTCTACAGTTGCTATGGTAACACAACCACTATAGCAGTTGATGTTGTGGTGATTCTACAGTTGCTATGGTAACACAACAACTATAGTAATTAATCTGTTGTGGTGATTTTACAGTTGCTACGGTAACACAACCACTACAGTAATTGATGTGTTGTGGTGATTCTACAGTTGCTATGGTAACACAACCACTACAGTAATTGATGTGTTGTGGTGATTCTACAGTTGCTATGGTAACACAACCACTATAGTAATTGTTGTGCCGTGGCGATTATACAGTTGCTATGGTAACACAACCACTATAGTAATTGATGAGCCGTGGCGATTCAACAGTTGCTATGGTAACACAACCACTACAGTAATTGATGTGCCATGGCAATTCCACAGTTGCTATAGTAACATAACCACTATAGTAATTGATGAGTTGCAGTGATTCTATGGTTGCTATGGTAACATAACACCTATAATAATTGATGTGCCGTGTCGATTCTGCAGTTGCTATGACAACACAACACCTATAGTAATTGATGTGCTGTGGTGATTCTACAGTTGCTATGGTAACACAACAACTATATTAACTGATGTGCCGTGGTGATTCTACAGTTGCTATGGTAACAGAACTACAATAATATAAACAAATTAGCCAATACTGTAATTTGTTTTGGTATATTATACAACAATACATCACAGTTTACTGTAGTAAAAACTCTAGTATACTACAGTATGCATTACAGTTAATCTGTTCACTTTAGTTAATACTACAGTAAGCTGGAGCCTTTATTAAGAAAGAGATGTAGATACTATACTATATACAGTACAATATAACTATAGTAGGGTTCAAAAACACTGTAGTATTTACTATGAATTACTGTAGTATGTTTATAATGTGGGTAAATTCATCAAGACACTCTATTGACCTTTTAGACAGAGGGAAGGCTACATCTCTACACTGATTCACATTTCCAGCAGTTTCCATCACAGTCAGAGCATGTGTGTGTGTGTGTGTGTGTGTGTGTGTGTGTGTGTGTGTGTTGTGTTTCAGATTTCCTCTGATTCACAGGAACATCTCTTTATTGATCCACATGAGTGTGTGCGTGTCGTTGGGTTTGCACTCATACTCGATGCTGTTGAAGCTGTTCCCCCACTGGCAGTGGTCTCTCTTGTTGTAGTTGTAGAACTTCACCTGCCAGACCGTCTCGAAAACACCCGCCTGAGTGAACTGTCGAGCACAAAAACACACACTGTACACACTGACTCCGCACAATCTATGGTTAAATATGTTTGCTTGTGTTTTTGATTGTGTAGATGCTGTTGCTTTAAAACTGTGGTGTATTAACACTGCACGTCAGGTCAAGCTCTGAATTTCAGGCTATTAAGGTATTTATAGGCTCTGTTTCAAATCCTGACGAGCTGCATAATTGCATTGCTTACTTCTAAGGAGACCTTAAAGGGACGGTTCACCCAAAACATAACAATGTCCTCATCCCGCCGCTTCTACCTGTACTGTCGAACACAAAAGATGTATAAGGTGCATCCTAAATCTAATATGTATGCACTATTCAATGTCATTTTGTAGTATGAATAGTATCACAAATATAATATACACTACCTGACTTCTAGTCTTGTTGTCGATCTCAGTTGTAAGAGCAACAAATAATATCTTGACTTCTAGTTGATGATGTGTAAAAGTGTCAGAAGGTGGATTTCTCTGCTGGATCATCTGCCGATCTGCATCCCAATCATCACCGATACTGCAGAAGACCTACTGGAACCAGCATGAGCCAAGATTCTCACAGAAATCAGTCAAGTGTGGTGAAGGAGAAATCATGGTTTGGGGTTTGGGGACATGTGTGCAGCCCATTACATTACAAACCACAGGAGAGGGACAATTCTCCAGCAGGATAGCGCTCCTTCTCATACTTCAGCCTCCACATTAAAGCTCCTGAAAGCAGAGAAGCTCAAGCTGCTGCAGGATTTGCCAGCCCAGTCACCAGACATAA